AAGATTAAGATAACTGTTCCTGTCAGTGCCATGGTAGTGAATATATTTAGGGATGGTTCTGAAATCCATTTAGATCAGATTTCCCAGTGTGAGTCAGCCCCACCCACAGTACCATGGGACAGATGAAGAAGGAAATAATCTGGCAAGAGACTGTGTTGATGGGATTTCCCTGCCACTAGTTAATAGCACCCAGTTCAAGTGACAGTGTCTCTTCAGCTAGCACATCATCAAAAATTAATCCCCATGTTTATTAATATAATGACTATCATGTTTTTCATCTCCTTGCAGCATGTCTCAATTTGGTTCTAAAGGAACATTTGAACTAATGTTATTTTTTTCCACTTGGAGGCTGCCAGTCTCCCCTTTCTTCTCAGAAGACTAAAAAAACACCAATACCAGATCCACTCAGCACCACTTTATCTTTCAAAATTACCCAGCTGACAAGAATTTTTAAAATCCGAGCCTGAATCAGGCCCCCACACTTTGTTTAACAATCAACATGAGGAAGACTTCTGGAGAACAAATCCCTAGGAGTGATTGACTCCCAAACACAATGAAAGTGCTTCTTTCTAAATAATTTAGAAAAGGAAGTAATCCAGGCATATTTAAAAGCTACATGCAGTGCTTGAAAACGGGCAGGTTTTTTTAAAAAAATCAGTCACTGCATATCTTTCCTCATAGAACTGATATCATTATGTTCTATTATGTAGAATAAAGTCAAAATATATTTGGAGCCATCGTAGTGTCTCATGTGTGAAGTGCCTTCCTTCAACTACCTGCCTGGCACCAAATCTACTCACTTCCTTCACTAGGCCAAAGCTTTCCGATTTACCTAAGTTTTTAGTAAACTGCTAATTTGTAGGTTGGTCCTCTTTCACTGGTGTTCGCAGATAAAAATTTTAAGACTCTTCAAATTTGCTCTTTGCATAGATAAATTGACAGTACCACTGATCATATTATAATGGTTTTATGCTGATTATGTTGCTTGTTTTATACTATTTTATATCTGTCCTGTTTTATAGTACACTACAGTTTTATGAATTTTGCTGGAAACCAACTCAAACAAATTTGGAAAGGTGGTGTATAAATATTTTAAATTAGACTGTTGCCCAAAACCGTGTTTGTTTGTTAATTTATTCACTTATATATAGTCAACCAACAGTGTAATGGCTGACCAAATGCAAGCCATCATAAATAAAAATACTTATTTTGAGGAAAAATTCAGTGATGCAGTACAGGCTAGGAGGAAATGCTTTGTTGACCATTTCTAGTTATTTTACTGTAAACAGGATTTGAACTACAGATTACATGTTCATCCAACATAATGTACTTGCCCTTAGTTAATGATGGGTTACTCTGAAAAAATTTCTTAATGTAGATATTAACCCAATCAGAGTTTTGTGGGTATGTCAGACATTTTCTATATCTCTGAAGTATGCATGCCTGCCAGAACCAATCTTGGCTGAGCTTAGGAGAGCTGGAAGCCTCAAGTTGTGGAATTTTCTTCCAAGGAGATGAGAGCAGCATCATTCCAGCAGGCCTTCTAGACCAAACAGAAGACTTTCTCTTCTTGAAGGCCTTCAAACTGAATAGGAGACCACACTTGCTTGTCTCATTCCCTTCTGATAATTTGTTTCATGAAGACTTTCTCTGATTGTATTATATTTTAATTTAACTTTTGATCACATATGTGGGGAAAAGGCAGCCTAAAATATTCTAAATAAATATTACCTGATAAAGTTGCCAAACATAATGTACCACAATCAAATACTAAGTTAAATGTGTGTAAGTGTATTGGAATTGCAACATTTGACTCACTAACTACTAAATTCTCTCAAACTTTTGACCCCACTAAGATCCATGCATGCATTCGCATGTATGAAAGATCTATGTATGCATTGTACTCCTGTATACCAACTGAAGTAGTTGTGTAGGGGGTCAATGTTTTATGATTTGAAGCATGTTCATTCCCCCCACACATCATTTCTTTTTCGCAACTTCTTTCCAGAGAATGAAAGGAAACAAACGTACCACAATAGCAGAGACGCTCAGACACATCTAGCTTTATTTGTCCTGTCAGAAAAGGTCAAGAACTACACCAAAAATACTTCAGTCTCTGCTACCTACTGACATAAAATACACCACAAAATTATAAATTGTCCAGTGGTTGATCTAGACATCATTGTTGTTGTTATTGTCTCCATGTATTTGTACATTTCTGGTGAGAAATGAATTTACAGGTGAAGAATGACATGGGAAGGGTAGAGACAGGGATTGAAAGTCAGACAATGAGATTTGGCACTACAGTTTTGGCTACATTATACAACCATTTATCATGACTCCTGTTGAATCAATCTCTAGCTCAATGGGCCTTTCTTTGCAAGTCAAACATAAATATTTGCTTTAAATCAGACAACTGACTTTGGAATTCACATTTTTAAGATCCTCACCATCCATTGGACCTAGCTCAACTGAGTCTCTGCCAGAAAGGAGACCTATGCATGGAATAAATAAATAAATTGACTGGCTTCAATCCAGTTCAATTTTGCCTAGTTCTTCTACTTTGAATTCAAATCAATACAGTTTTTTAATTTAATTTGGGCAAAATCAGCCAAATGCTATTCCTATCAATCATTCCCCAGAAAATCCCATTAATAAACATAAGACTTGGATGACAGTCATGTTTGGTTTGTTTCCTGTGATTCCTGAAAACTATGGTGAAACTGACACAAACCAAAGCAAGAATTTTTAAATGTACCATTCACCCAAGCAAATAATATGTTCCTGTAGATCACAATACATTACCAATCAGACACAACTTAAGGTAACATTTTCAAAGCTTCATTGCACTTGGTGCAGTTCCAGTTCATAGACTCTTGATCTGTTTGGTGAATTACGTCATCTCAGGTTGTTGTTATTTTTTAAATTCCAGACTCCCAAGAAAATTTCATGAAGGCAGCCAGCAAATCTGATTGAGAACTTACTATCTGAATACCAGAATCCCAAGACTGGTACTTAACTGGACAGTAATTCCCAGCAGTTTTCTGTACTAGCACTGCAATTCCATTCCGGATACTGACGAGCAAATGCTCATGTGATCTGTGGTATGAAATCTTCCAACATGTTGATGCAGTGTGGGATCCAACCTAAAGGTATCAGTAACCATGCTGCAAATATAACATGCAAATTGAGCCTATGTACCAACTCACATGGGCATTGTTCCACCATGAGTTGACTTTGAGCAGTCCATTGGTGGCTGAGATGGGCATGGAGTGCATTTTTGCAAATGGAGTGCATTTTTGCAAATGGAGATCAATAATACTTCAGTGCCCTACAAATCACAAACCCAGTATGCCTGGTTTTTGGTAACTGGCTGCTCTATGTTTTTAAAATTAAAACATCATTCAGATCTAGCATTCAAGTATCTGAGTACTCACAGGAAAATAAATATTTTCACCTTACTTCACAAGGGACATTTTGAATGGTTCCCCACTTGCATGCAGATTATTTCTGGAGATCAAATGCCCTTTGTAAAATGGCCCTATAGCTCTTTCCCAGCCACATAGTGTGGTATGTAGATTTTGCCTTTACAGTTCATGGGGGAAATGAACCTGGAGTGGGTGGAAAATTCATCCTGAAAAATCTATCCATGACAGCAGAGTGAATATCACAGGTTGTGTACACAAATGTATATGGGATTTATCTGCCTGTTTCTTCTACACACTGACCCACAGATTATTATTTTTTAAAAAAGAATAACAAAAAGAGGTAAGAGATCCAGTAGGGTGAGGAACTCCTAGGAAATCCTGGTTGTTTATGCAAATCTGGCAAAGCACATCTCTGGACCATATTAACTTTTTTGTAAACTTCTGACATAATACACTTATTTAACTGGCTAATATCCTTCCAAATATTGCCAAACACTAATAAGAATTAGGTCTCTGGGGCAGAAACTTGATATTATTTATTTCATCTTGCTTGTCTTATTTAATGTTTAGAAATTCATGCTGAAATCTGAGCTTATAGATGTCTAAACCTTAGACACTTTCTTTCTTAGTGTGGGCTTCTGGATAGGATATAGTTGCCTTTCAGTTTGACCCTACTGGGCTTTGGCACCCCCTCTACAGGGGTTTTGTTTTAGGATAGGTTTGTTGTTCAAATTTTAATTGCAATTGGTAGCTGATAGGTAACATCAAAATATGTAAGTACTGTATTCATGAATTCACATATTCAAATAAGCAACAGCCAGTATTTCTTTCTATGAGAAATAGCACACATACAAAGTAGTGGTGTGGTTTTGATGGTTCCTTGCATGTGCAGGGACTCCAGTGAACTGATGAGCTTCCTTGGGTACAAGAACTTTCCCATTTGCTTTTGTGATAAGCACAGCTCCAGTTTCATCAGAGCATTTGGGGAGCTTTCAAGTCGGACTGCATATGCACACACCTAAGAACTATTTGATTCTGGAGCTGTGCCATGATATAGTGCCCTTCAACCTATATGAGTTGTTACAGATTCCTTCTCATACCATATTCTGATGAACAAATCCTATCACATGTGGTTCCCCCCCCCCCCCCCCATTTCAGGGCTCTGTCTCCTTAGCCATATAAGGCATGAATAATTTTGTTTGCTATACTGCTTCCTTGTCAGTGTTGTCTGCCTTTGCTTTTTTGTTTTTTAAATTTTTATTTTTCTAACAAATAGTAAGCAATGATTTTAAAAATATTTGTACATTGTAAGATATAGTCAACACCTAACATGCCTTTGTACAAGATCGTGACTTAGTTACAAATCAACAAGAACAATGCACCAAAGAGAGAAGAAGAGAAAGAGAGCAAGAGAAAGAAAGATCCATTAAGATGACACCTGCACTTGGAGTTATATTCTTGTTGCACTAGAAGCACGGCGCCCTCTCTGAACTAGAGCAATGCTTTAGAAACATGGTGTTCTTTTCCCCTTTCCCCTTTCCCCCTCCCCCATCCCCTGGCCACCACACTGCTTTAATGGCCTTCTGTCTTGGTAGCCTTGGCTTCATGATTTACTGATCCCGAAGAAAGCCAGGGAGAGACGGACCGTGAGCTGGTTTGCTTAGCCATGCTGTAATGGCTAATGACGGTGTAGAATCTTCCCCTGGAGTTGGAATCCTGAGCTGAATAGTAGGCGTCCAGAGAGGCTGGGATGCACCGCTTATGCTGATGATAAAGGAAAGGGAGGACCAGTGAGTGGCAATCACAGTAAGTGGGAAATACGTAGAACAACACCACCTGACCTATACTGAGTGTACTACAATGCAGCCACATTTGGAAGCCACCATAATCTTGGCAGCTGCTAATAAATTCTGAATTAAATTATGATGGTCTTTACAAATTAAACACTCAAAATATGTAGGAGGGCTTCTGGAGTTCTGGCCCCACTGGTGGACTTCCAGATGGCACTTGGGTTTTGGCCACTGTGTGGCACAGTGTTGGATTGGATGGGCCACTGGCCTAATCCAACATAGCTTCTCTTATGTTCATATATACCAAATTAATATAAGAAGTGGATATTAAGTTTATAGTATAAATAACCTTTCACCTCTAAAAGTCTCTTGTTTCAAGACAAGCCTACTACATTTATCAAAAAGATAAAGTTCTGTTAGGATATGTTATACACAGAAGTTTCTCATCAACCATGAAGCTTTCTGGGCAGGTAATTATGTAGGCTCTGCCCATACTTATAGTTTCCTAGACTCCACAAACACACACAGAGTTTTATCCTCTGCTGTGATGATCTGAAGTTTGTTATTCATGTTCAGGTTGATTTAACAAAATGTATTAGCTTTATTCTCTCTCTCTCTCTCTCTCTCTCTGAAATCATATGGTAACCACTACCCTTATGTTTTATATATTACATATTTCTTCACCCTCAAAACCAATACTTGAGAAGAATGTGCAGATACTCTCCCTTTCTCTCCCTGTAAGCAAAGATTCAGTATCTATGGAAACTGATCAGAAAACCAACATTCACTAAGCATTAGTGTCAGTCTCAAAACATTTGAGTGGCTCATATCTATGGTGAGCCAACTCAAAGGGCCAGTTTATGTGAGCTCATTTATAAAGAAACACATGGGAATAGTTGGGGGTCTTCATGCAGATTTAAACCTATGGAGTTGGAAATAATTGTGGCTGACAGATGGTGCTGCAAGCCCCTGTTTCCTAAAACACTAACCACTTTTCAGCATGTTCTTGACAAATGATGCCTCTGATCCTGAAGGGAAAATGCAGGACTAAATTGTAGCCATGCAGTCAATTAGATTCTAACATTAACAGAGACTCAGATCTCTTACCTTATAAACAAATCCATCTGGGCAACTGTGGTCATAGGTAAACGCTTTGTATACCACAAGAAACACTATGCAGGCGAGGAACGCAAGAGCCAAACTTATGAGAATTGTGACCTGCAAACGAAGAGAAATATTAGTCAATAGACATTTGCACAATCTTATGATCAAATGACTTATATTAACAAATCTGTGTGCTGCCAGCTTTATGGGAAGGGAAAGGCCTGGGCTGCTGAGGGGCAGGACTACAGATACAAAATTCCTTGGGGTCCAGATTGCTATAATCTCCGAACTTCAGCAAGAGCTGGTGGTCTCTCTAGGAATCTATAAATACTCATTTTAACCTTTTGCTTGACTAGAAATCAGAGTTTATGCTTTCCTGTAGCAATTTATTTATTTGCTAGAATATTTATATAACCTACATTTCTCTTAACACAGTCTGGACCAGATGTGGGTGATGACAATATATAATACAACAATAATAATCTATTAAATCAATTAAAGCATATTAATTAAATCAGTTGACACAGAGACTTGCTGTGTTTTCCAGTTAAGTAAAGTGTTGAAGTGAGGGATTATGACTTCCTAGAGAGGCTTTTTGTTTCAATAAGTATTGATTAGTTTCTTTCCTCCTAAGTGTCTCTCACCCATGTCCCCTCTGTGTAGGGGCCTGTCTGGGGGGGTGGGAGGGCCACGGCCAGCCTACCTGGGCTGGGGGGGCCTGCCCCCGGGGGGGGGATGGCTGCAGCTGGCCTACCCGGACTGGCAGGGCCTGTCTGGAAGGGTTGAGGGTCGTGGCTGGCCTCCCTGGGCCAGCGGGGCCTGTCTGGGGGCATGGGAGGGCCGCAGCCAGCCTACCTGGACCAGCAGGGCCTCCCTGGGGGGGTGGGAGGGCTGCGGCCGGCCTACCTGTTACCCTGAAACTATCCAGCCCTAAACTATCTTGCTGGAAAACATTCCTCAGCCACACTTCTCTACCATAAATGACAACTTTCAAAACTATAGACATTTCACAACACTCATTTCCAAAGACGCCTCCTTCTCATTCCCACGTAACCTACTGAGACTTTCATCACTACCACTCACTTTCAACCCACCTTCCCTTGAGACCTCTGCTCTAACAGGGTAGACAGTGCGACCACAGCCACATTGAATGACATAGAAATCCAACATAAAATGACTTAGCAGACTGCCCAGTTGTTGACACTACTCCACAGACCCCTGTGTGCAACATTTTCTGGCCCACATTGTGTGACCTTTGACACCGCTATTGTGTAACATAAGGTATGTGAGACTTTACTTCCACATTTGTATCTTTCACTTACAGACTGCTAATATTTACTTTACCTCCTTCCAGCCTATGCATTTGTTACACATCACATCTTTCTAGAGCTCGTTGAATTGCTTTCAAAAAGGGGCTTTACTGCTAGTGTAACATAAAACAACTGTAAGAACTGAAGTTACAAAGGGTGTATTAATTTCTCTTCAAAGAAAAATGGAAGAGAAATCCCTGTTTTAAAAGAGAAAAAAGACAACAAATAAATAGCTATAGCTAATCAAGTTTTGGAACTTTGGAACAAGAAATTCCGCTCACCATAACAACACTAGATTCAAGCAATCCACCATTCATATGGGATATTTTCATCATTTGTAAGAGTTCTTCTCATTGCTAGTTACTACCCTTTCAAGGTTCAAAGAACATCTGAGTAACCAAGTGATGAAAGCTTGAATATGCTGGCTGTTGTTTAATAACTGCAAACAATCCTCAGGGTAGAGTAATAGTCAACCAGGCTGAATCAGCATGCCAGATTCCCCTTAAACCATATGGGTTCTATCCTTTCCAAAAAAGAGTCAGGACTGTCAAGGAAAGATTAGGGGGACAAAATTATGAGGCTCTGCTTATTCTGGGGGTTTCACTGAGGATTTGTTTTCATATGATGCTTAGGTTGCATCTGATTGGTGTAACAGGGATGCCTGAAGACATTTTTGTCTGGGAGCCCATGTTGTCTCATTGGCCCTGACTAGAGTAGTTGGAGCAACCAGTTGGTATAGTCTAAATTGTAGAGTTAAAACTGAGAAACTTCCAGCTACATGCGACTGTCATAGGCAGATGCTCTTTTAAGTGTGTGTGTTTCAGATGGACAGATGAAGATACACTTTGTGGCCAACTCTGCAAGCAAATCTTCTGAACTGGTGCTACATGTGACATAAGTCAGGTTGTGGGTACCCGACCCAAATTGCAGCCACACATGTGGACTGCGGAATTCACCTTAAAAGCTCTCAGTTGCAGCATTTGGCTCTAGAGCACAGCAAGGGTGGAGGAAGGGCTTCAGGCTTCCCTCCTGCAACACTTTTGTCAGTAGAAACAGCACAGGAGGGAAGCCTGCAGTCCCTCCTTCCCCCTCGCTTTGCTCCAGAGCCAAACAGTGCAACTGAGGGCTTTTAAGATGGGTCCCCCATTTCATGCATGCTGGTCAGGCAAACTAAACAGGTGTTACCCAGGCTATAAAAAGATTGTCAGCCAATGAAATCAATGCACAAAAGACATATTCAAAAAACATGCTGTTAATTTACTTTCTGGAATTTTCTTTGAGAGTAATTAAAAAGAAACTTCCTTGCATATGGCAAACTAGTAATGTTATAGAAAAAAAGATAGTCCAGGACCTTCCTCCTCTACAAGCTTAGCTTTCTACAAGCAGGGAGTTTTTATCATAGGGAAGCAATCAGTCACATGATTATTCCACCTTCATTCTAAAGTGGTGCAGTTCAAGCAGAGCTGCTCTGTAAGTGTCTCTGATCAGTCCTTAGAATGTAGATTAGCGATGGAGAAGCTGCTGTGGCGAAAATAAACTGCGCTGGAAAGGCAAGTTTTATCTTTGGCATATATAAATGGGGCAAATTGATCAGAATTGACATCTACTATGTAGGCAGAAAAGCATAAAACAATCAATTCAGCACTCATATAAATACCATCAATTACAAACAAAGCTGAAAGCTCAATAGTATCACCAGGTTTTGCAGTACCGAGAACATCGCAGCACCTGGAAAGCTGATGGTCAATGTGAAATGTGATCCCTGAATGAACTCAAAGGGAATTGGTCTGGGAATTGATCAAGGAGAACACAAAAGACTTTCTGGGACAGCCAAAGCTGCAAAAGATGTGCCATCTGAGGCAGTGCAATTCCAACACAGAGGACATTGTGTGCATGGTTGATCTTGAGCTCAGGCTGTACATTTCACAGCCAAAACTTCATATGTCCAAGAGTCAGTGCTCCCATTCTCCATTCCTAATAGTCACCAGTCAGATGCTTCCCCCTCTCTTCTGCCTCAATAGCATCTAATACAATGGGCAGGATTGTCACAATTTTTCTCTCCCCTCCCAAATCCCTAGAATTTTGCACTCTGCATTCCCCCATCTTTGCTACTGCTTTTTCTGGCATCCCAACGTCCAACCCTTACTTCTCTGTCTCACTTTCTGTCTTTCCTCATAGTTAGTCTGGTTTTGTACATTCTCTTGGAAACTTGGCATTGTTGCATCAGCCTGTAAGCATCTAGTTTCTTAACCCAAAATCTAATCCTTCTAAGATTGCCAACCTTCAGGTGTCACCAAGATCAGTTCCCCTGCAGAAAATGCCTGCTTTGGAGGGTGGACTGTATGGCATTATATCCCACTTAGGTCCCACCCCTACCCAAACCTGCCACCCCCCTAATCTCCAGGTATTTTCCAACTCAGAACTGGCAACTCTAGATCTTTGCCTTGTTCTCATCCTTTCATTATTTGCATAAAGGATCATTCCCCTCCCTCTCCTAGTTCCACACACTCCCCAAAACATTCCATGGCCTAATATTAGCACAATACAAAACTGAAAACGCATAACACAAAACTGATCTGAAGTAAAATGTCCACAGATGCTTAAGCAGAGTAAGCAATAAAAAGCTGCCTATAGACTGGAAGGTAAGGAACATGAGTTACAGTTCCTGAGTACTCTGAAAAAGAGAGAAACATATTAAACATTCAAATGCTACAGGACCAGACAGCTGAGATACCTAATAAACCTCCATTTTATATTTTAAAAGAACAACAGGAACCTTGATAAACCTTGAAGGAATATAAATACCCTCATAAGGGAAATAAAAATTTGCAAGAGGATAAAACAGTCACAATAGAAAGGAATTTTTCTTTTTTTCTTTTTTTTATGCAATATATTTATTAGGATTTTATCATATAAGTCAATCTCATACACATACATCCAATCGTCAAGACTACACATGAATCCTATAAATTTCTTTTTCCAGTTTGGTGTAGTGGTTAAGTGCGCGGACTCTAATCTGGGAGAACCGGGTTTGATTCCCCACTCCTCCACTTCCACCTGCTGATGTGACCTTGGGTCAGTCACAAGCTCTGGCACAGCTGTCCTTGAAAAAGAGCAGTTTGTGTCAGAGTTCTCTCAGCCCCACCCACCTCACAGGGTGCCTGTTGTGGGGAGGGGAAGGGAAAGGAGTTTGTAAGCCGCTCTGAGACTCCAAGTGAAGGGCGAGGCATAAATCCTTCTTCTTCTTCTTCTTCTTCTTCTTCTTCTTCTTCTTCTTCTTCTTCTTCTTCTTCTTCTTCTTCTTCTTCTTCTTCTTCTTCTTCTTCTTCTTCTTCTT